GGTCGCCCCTACCACCGCTCTCTGTATCCGTTAAGTCCTGTGTATTTCCGGGCAGCGCTCCATTGAAATACCCTGTTAAACGTAAAAATTTGACGTCCGATGCCGACATCCTTACTTGACAACTAACCATTTAAACAAATACGGTCTACGTGCTGTATTTTGGAACTGTTTCCGGTCATGATGAAAGAAGCAGGCCATATCTCGCGTAACAGGCTTTGTGATATCTTGCAAAGGACTGTTACGCCTGGCGCACATATCTAGGCGTGCGGCGCTGAAACCCGAGACGAGTTAATAGGATATTCGACCGCAGGAAAACTGGAACCTTACGAAGAAAAGGATGACTGCTCGATCCGTTTCCTTCTGCGCGTTCATTGGCTGACTGACACACCGTCTATTAGACGGTTCCGGCAGTGCCCGTTTAAAGAAGAATTAATGAAATCACCACCGGAAACAGTTCTAAAATAGAGGCTAAAATAAGTGAAAACTAAAATTGACAGTTACTAGGGATTTAATAGAAGTCATTCACGTCGAACTACAGTGTCAAATGACAAAAATCAGCCAACTTTAGCTACTGGTTCCGGTCCTGACTTCTTCATTTCTTCTCAAAAAGCGCACTGGCGGAACGGTCTATTAACGGTCAGAAGGAAACAGAGGGACCCTTGAGCCCAAAGGAGAGTGTGGTTCGACCCCTAATGTGTGGTTTAAGTAGTACCCCCTTTACAATTCTTCGACAAAAGCCTTTTTTTACGATTTAATAGACCACTTGGTCTCTTTCATCTTGTTTTCGCCAAGGAATGCCCCCTTGCAACCGAACGGTACAAGATAGAGCAAAACGGACGAAATTTTCGCCCATAGGGTTCTACTTTCACGAGTTACCCCTTAGGAGTCCATAAAAAAATATTTGAAAAAAATAAATATTTTGCGACCTGTGGTTTGTGATTTTTTAAAAAGTCAATTTTCGAGCTAGAGTGCTCATCTTCGAACTCGATCTGTCTTTTTATGATGCAAAACGACCCTGAAAATCCCAGGTCGCTCTCTCAATTCTTTCTCGAGTTATCGTGCGGACAGACAGACAAACAAACAGAATGAAACTTTTCCGGTCAGTGGAGTAATGGGCTTCGCTAATCGCTCAGCCAACTATGTAGAATTTCTCATTCTCCCCATCCTTTCCTAGAACAGGATTAATGCCACCTGAACATAATAATGATGGGTTGAAAACATTCAAATTTAGTGGAGTACACTAATTCTTTCACAACTGAAAACACAAGTCATTCTAGATTCACCTCTTTTTAGGTTTGAAGGGTTGGATGTGATCGTTTTACATATAGGATGGTTGGCCTTGCGGCCAGGGCAGAGCAGACTATCGATTGCAGCTGGACATTCACTACTTCCATGATCTATCTGGGGGACATTAGTCCAGTAAAGCCTCCTCCTGGTAGCTGGAAGGTGCCCTGCTGCATTTGTCTTGAGAGGTTCTTGACCAATATCTTTGCATCAAGGAGGTGGAATGGGATGGAGCGTTATATATTAAAGGCCTGCGTAACTGCTCAATCTGCTCATGTCATGTAAGATTCAGGTGTGTTACATTACCGAGTCATGGTGTCCCAATCCACTGCATCCATGTGCGCAGTCATCTCCATCATCCAAAAGAATAAGTGACCATGCTCAGCTGCCTTGTGCTTCAGGTAATCTCTTATTCTTATAAATGCAACAAAAACAAAACTATAATGCAAAATCAAAAAGTGCTCATTGATCATTAGACCTCTTGCGTTTCAATTCAAACGACGTACTAGCCATAAATTCCTTGGTCTCTTTCGGAGGCTCTGCTTCGAAGTTAACACAGTGCTTCTCTACTAAAACAGATAAATAAAATTAATAAAAATGACAAAATATTATAAACAAAATCTTCAAGTCACATCACTTACTATCAAACACTACATCAGAACTTTTTGCAAAAGTATCCATTATTTTGGTGGGATAGTAAGTTCCAACCTTTCCAAAGGTAGTGAGATACCAAGATTCGTTTTGGATCGCCGCATCAAACTCTAGAACTTCCTTAGCATCTAGGTCCTCTTGAAATTTTCTATCGCCCCAAATCATTAGATCGAAACCTTCCTTATATTGAAGAATTAAGACATTGGAGGCTTGACTGTCTTTGTTGTTTACCCGTTTCACATTCTTTATTCGGAAAGCTACGTTTTCAGGCAATTGGTAGCTTTTAACGTATACCTGTTTACTTTGTTTATTCAGTAATTTAGAACGCCAGTCCATCTGCAAATAAATATAAAAATAAAACTCAAAAAATGCGATGCCTGGCACATACAGGGTAATAGTATAAACGGATATTGCTATGCTCGATCATGGTGACTTTTCTTTTCTTGATTCTTGCTCTTATCTGCATTTCAGCTTTACCAAAATGCTTTATTGGGTTGGGCTATAAGAATTACTCTTTCCTGGGGTGAATACTATGATTAATATAGCAGATTGTACTTTTAAGTCAATGGTGTTTGTGTCAGGTTGATGAGCACATGTTTGATAGTACCCAAGGAAGAATTTGAGCTGTGACTGTCACTGTGACGTTAAAATAGTTTCACATTATGAAATCTTTCTGAACTCATTCAGATGTCATTGTAATAACTCAATATGACGTCATAAGTCAAATATTGGTCACAATGATATCAAAGTGAGTGATGAAAGATGTCAAAATGGGGGACAGCTCAGATTCCTCTTTGGGGATTGTCAAAAATGTGCTCATCAACCTGACACAAACACCATCCAATTTAAAGAACAATCTGCTATATTAATCATAGTATTCCCCCCAAGAAAGGGTAATTCCCCATAGCACAACCCAATAAAGAATTTTGGTAAAGCTGAAATGCAGATAAAAGCAAGGATCAAGAAAAGAAAAGTCCCCACAATCAAGCATAGCAATTTTCCGTTTACTACTACCCTGTATTCCAGCTTTACCACATGTATAAACATACTGCTATCCATGAACCCATAAAAGAAAGACTTCTATTGTATAATATCACATACAACAAAATAATATCACCCACCAAACATGTGCTCAGCCAACAAACACATAAATACCATCCAATTTCAAAGTACAATCTGCCATATAAATCGTAACAACCATCCCAAGCAAAACTTATTCCGTAAAGCACATCCCAATAAAGTATTTTGGTAAAACTAAAATGCAGATAAATGCAAAGATGTTTACTTCTTCATTGCATTCCAGCTTTACCAAAATGCTTTAATTAAATAAATTGGTATATAATCCTTTACTTACATCGAAATAGACAGAACAATCAAGAAAGAGATGAATGGGAACAATCCAGTCAACCGGCAGCCAAGCAGGGCAGCAATAGATAAATGAACTGGAAAACACGAAATAAATTCTTTTAAACTCAGCTTACTCTCATTACAATGCGCGTGGTGCAAAAGGAAACTGCTATTTATAAGCCCAACAAACTAAAACACTATTCTCTAATATAACATACAACGAAACCATATAACCTATAAAACACGTGGTACATCGAACTGTCAAATGAATGCCATCCACTTATAAAGTACAATATGCTATATTAAGCCTAGTATCAACCCCAAGTGAAAACTGACTCCCCATAGCACAACCGAATTTAACTAAGTTAACATATACAGATTAGTTACTTACAGTGCAAACGGCAGAACAAGAATGGTGAAAGACCGCAACCACACGTCAGGACGTCAATAGATGCGAGTAAAGAGAGAGAGAAATGACCTGGCACTGTTGTGGAGAATGGGGCGGTTGGGGAGTGGCGCATGGGTGGTACTGTTGTCCTCGCTATAAAAAGGCCCCCCTCCAACAAAGAGCCAGTGCGCTCAGAGCAGTGTTCCGGATCGGTCGGGTCGACCTGTCTTCCCCAAACCAGAAGTGCTTCAAAAAGACCCACCCCAACATCCTCGGCGTTGTCATTCTGGTTTGGAGGGACTTGCTACGGACCGATCCGGGACATTGCCTCAGTGCATTCAAAAAGTCCGTCAGAATGAGCCTGGAGCGTGCAGAAGGAGGTGAGAGGGAGACGTCAGCTTTTCTGGGCCCGGAAGTATTTGAAGAGAAGCTGGCCGCCCTCCTCGCCTCCAAGAAAAAACTCGACACCTCATTCTACATCACGAGAGCGAAATATGACGAGTTTCTGCGGGACACGAAGGCAGCCGAAGAGAAGGAGAGTGGGTTAACTTCTCTCGACGGCCACCGACTCGACCGTTTCGCGGTGGTGAAGTTCCCGGGCCAGCCGGAGAAGCTCGTCGATGGAACGAAGAGGAAGAAGGGGCAACCGCCTCCTCCACCACAAGCCAAGCCGATCTTCTTCGTGGCCGTCGATGAGCTACACGACGTCCTGCGGCAGGCGCATAACAACATCGGTCACGGGGGTAAGCACAGGATGGTGGCAGAGCTCAAGGGGAAGTACAAGAACGCGACAGAAGAGGTGATCCTTTTGTACTTAAGTCTCTGCCCCACCTGCATCACGAAGAGAAACCCCGTGAGGAGAGGGAACACCGTCTGCCCAATGGTGTTCCTCCAGATGAATGGCAGGATGCAAGTCGATCTGGTCGACATGCAGTGATCGGCGGACGGTGAATTCAAGTGGATAATAAACGCGCAAGATCACCTCACGAAGTTCACCCACTTGAGGGCGCTGGCAAGGAAGACCACGGCGGGGGTGGCGAACAACTTGGCGGACATCTTCCTGGTCTTCGGGGCTCCGTGCATCCTGTAAAGCGACAACGGCCGGGAATTCTGCAACATCGTCATTACATCGTTGCGGGAGACCTGGCCGGAGCTGAAGATCGTGCACGGTAAGACCCTTACCATCATCAACGAGCATCTACTAATAAAATATGTACTGTTTCCTCTGCGCTGGGGCTCCGAGGCACTCCCAAAGTCAGGGGAGTGTGGAGCGATCCAACCAGGACATCCAGAATATGCTTCACGCTTAGATGTCCAGCAACCGCACCCCGACAATGGTCGATGGGATTGCGGTTCGTCGCCTCGCAGAAGAACAGGTCCATCAATCGTGGCACCGGCAGGTCACCGTACGAGGCCGTGTTCGGCTTCCCCGTGAGGGTTGGCATCACGTCCACCCTCCCGAGTGGTGTCCTGCCGGATATAGCGACGGAGGAGGAGCTTGAGGAGTTCCTATAGGGGGTGCGCTACGGGTCAACATCTCCCGGTTCGTTTGCGGTTCGTAGAGTCCACTCAATTGGGGGAAATACATCAGAAAACTTATTGTGTCAATTGTGCAGTGACCTCCCCTGGGCCCTCGCCCTCCTCCAGAGCCGCGCCTCGCCAGCAGCCCCCTCCCTCTTCTGGCGCCTCCCGCCCTCCTGCTGGCCTGTCCACCCTGACAAGATCCCGCCCCGGCCCTTCCACATCGTCATCCAGCCCTGCCCAACCCATCATGCCCTCCCCCTCCCCAACCTCCAGACCGTCTCCGGTTGCCAGAGCCAGAGTGCCACTTCCAGGTTTGTTATTGCGCTTTCAACCTCCAACAGATATAGAATTTGTCGTGAACTCTGTCATTCCCCTCTCAGTGGCCCCACTCGACATGGTACCGGAGACCCCCGCGAGTCCCCGCTCGGACCCCGCTTCGCAGGATGGGCAGTCCCCGTCTGCAAGGCGTGCGGGAAGTCTTGCCCGCACGAGACCTGCAAGACTTGCCCACTGCCGCTGCACGCTACCTGCGGAGTTAGAGGGACGTGTGCAAGGGGTGGGCGACTGGAATTGTTCGTGTACACAGGAGTACGGAGTACACGGAGTACAGTCGGAGAACACTGAGTTTTGCCGGTCGGAGCGCGCAGAGTACACCCGGAGTACACCGGAGTACAGTCGGAGTACGCGGAGAACTTGCGACAAAAACAACTGGAGTACACGGAGTACAATCGGAGAACACATGGAGTACATTTTGGCCTGAACACAGGAGCCGCCCAGTCGTCCAACCCTCGGACGTGTGGCCTCTGCCGGCGACCCAGCCTCATCGGCGCGCACCAGGCGGCGGCACGTGAGGGGCTCCTGTACCAGGTGGAACGAATGCTGTCCAGCCAAGCCAGTCAACGTCGGCGACAACGTGGCCGTCGCCGTGCCGCGCGTCGACTGGGCGTCCTGCGACGCTCGTAACGTGCTGGCCGTCGTGACGGAGGTCACCGAGCCGAGCAGGGACTGTTCCGAGTGGGGAACGAGGAGGGCATGATGAGCAGACTGGCGACCAGGAGCCAGGTGGAGCCCACCAAGCACCAGTTCCTGAGCCAGTCTGATATCCCCGAGGAGACGCTGGCCCTTCGCACCATGGCGACGGCAGGGAACCACGGGGGGGGGGCAGGGCTACTAGTTCTGCGTCTGCACGAAGGGCTGCGACACCAAGCGATGTGGTTGTGTCCGCCGGGACGAAAAATGTTAGAGCAACTGCCACAACTCGCGACCGGGCAACAATAAACACCATACGGACTGAATCAGACTTTTGCCACGCACCAGTGGCGAGACCTAGCTTTCGCCAATAGCCTTGGAGAATCTTAGTATTCGAAGGCGAAGGACCTGTAAAAAAAACTATTAAAAACATCCAACTGGGCATTTGCCGCTAAATCTGGCGATACCCGACTTTCGCCGGCGAAAGTAGGGCATTCGCCGCCACCGGACTTTCGCCCTAACATATACATTGAATATATAAACCTTATGTCACAGAAACTTCAAAAATCGAATTTTACAAAATATTTAAGTCATGAAACATTATCAAAATAGAAATTCAACTAAACAGTCTACATTAAACAACCATATAAAATTTAGTTTAGATTAGTCACTATGGTCACCCTCCTCCTCTTGCCTCTTCCTCTTAAGAGCCCTCTTCTCTTCATTCTGCATTCTCTCTTTTGCGTCCTTCAACGCATCATCAACCACCTGCTTTCTGCTTTAGCTTTGTTTTACAAAAGAACGAAGAAGTCTCTCTCTTTTAGCTCTGTTTTATTATAACCGGCTTGCTGATAATGTCTCGATACCCCCTATGAATAACCGCTCACCGCCTCGGTGGCTCTGAGAAAACGCTCAGCTCACTCCCCGCCTGCGGACAACCGCTTACCTCGCTTGGCGCTCCGGATAACCGCTTAAGTCGCTTTTTCACCGAAAACGTAATATTGGTATCATTCGAAAGAGGCGGAAATTCTCTTTCGGAAGATACTAATATTACGTTTTCGGTGAAAAAGCGACTTAAGCGGTTATCCGGAGCGCCAAGCGAGGTAAGCGGTTGTCCGCAGGCGGGGAGTGAGCTGAGCGTTTGTCCGCAGCAGCCGAGGCGGTGAGCGGTTTTTCATAGGGGGTATCGGTCTGGTAAGACATTGCAATAGTTCTACCATGATTTGATCTTGTCTTAGTCTATGTGAAGTTGTGCCATCCTGTCGTTCTGTGTTAGTTATGTTTCAATTTCTTGTATGTTCTATAAGTGCTCTTGTTCTCAGGTTCAACATCTAATGGCTTCGTTCTCAATTAGTAACTTAGAATCTTTTGCTTTTACTTGAATTGGTTCTCGACATTCTAAAAGTGTTGGTGAGTATTATAGCGTGTATTCTCTAAGATTTTCATTAATATTGTTTGTTAATGTCACTGTTTCTTTCTCTGTTTCATGTGCAAGCTTTTATTGGCATTTCATTAAAGTTCTGGTGTCCCATCACCCTGTGCAAATCATGTTTCCACGTCCAGTCTGAATAGTGTTCCTGGCTCACGCCTGGTGATTGGCATGTTGAGCCATTACCTTCTCATCTTTCGGTCGCGATATTTTTACTCAAGTGTGTCTCGGGCATAGCTAATTCCTATTAGACTGCGCACTGTTTCTTCCCTTTGATTTGTTAATGTGACTTTAATGTTCTTCATTATTTTCAGATTCATCAAATGCTTTATTCACCATGATTTTTCTCAATTGTCATTTTAAACTTTTTTCATTTCATAAATAATTACTAGCTATCAGTACGCCAGACCACGTCTCGCGTAACAGGCTTCGCGATATCTCACGAAACAGTGTTACGCTGCGACGCGCCTGGCGCACATATAGCTAGGCCTGCGGCGCTGACACCCTGGTCGAGCAAATAGGAGGGAATAGGGGAACAGGGCCTTCCGAGCCCAAAATTTCACATACTAAAACCATTTGTAGGGGTCTTATTTCTCTAAAGTTATGGATAATAAACTTCTGCTGTTCGGTAACGGTTTTCATTAAAAGTTCGAATTTTGACAGATTGTTATGTAAAAATCAACGTTTTAGTGATACTAGATAATCTAGGGACGCTTAAGCCCAAAAGAGGGTGTGGTTCGACCCTTAATGTGTGGTTTAAGTATTGTTCCCTTTTCAGTTCTGTGCCATGAAACCTTTTTTTACGATTTATTAGACCACTTTGTCTTTTTCACCTTGTTTTCGCCAAGAAATGAGCCATAGCGCCAAAACGGTACAAGATAGAGCAAAACGGACGAAATTTTCGTCCGAAGGGGTCTACTTTCACGAGTTACCTCTAAGGAGTCCTTAAAGAACTATTTGAAAAAAATAAATATTTTGCAACCTTTTGTTTTTGATTTTTTAAAAAGTCAAATTTTGAGCTAGAATGCTCATCGTCGAACTCGATCTGTCTTTTTATGATACAAAACGCCCCTGAAAATCCCAGATCGCTCTCTCAGTTCATTCTCGAGTTATCGTGCGGACAGACAGACAGACAAACAAACAGACAGACAGACAGACAGACAAACAGAATGAAACTTTTCTGGTCAGTGGAGTAATGGGCTTCGCTAATCGCTCAGCCAACTATCCACCAACATGTCAAACCAAGTAGATTGATAGTCACTAGGGTGGAGTGAAAAATGGATTATTGTACTTCAACGTATCCTAAGACAAGCGGGTAAAGGGTAAAGGGGTCATCTGGGAAACGGCTATCTCTTAAAAGGTGCGGAATACATCCAAGTAAGTACCCACGAAGTATGAATCCGCTGCGTCATCGTCTTCAGCCTGGCCTGTCGACTTTTGACGTCCAAAAACAGCCTAAAATTGCGATTTTTGACCATAAATTCCAAACTTTGGTAGAACGGACACGAAAGCAGGTAATGTTTTCGATGCATCTCGACAAGACAACATGATTTCATTTTATCAATTTTTTCTGTTTGGCCGATGGTTCTGAAAATATGAGTGAAAAACACTTTTTCCGGTAATGAAAAAGGGCGTTTATGGACATAAAAATCGAAAGGCCAGGCTGAAGACGATGGCGCAGCGGGTTCAAACTTCGTGGGTACTTGGATGTATTCCGCACCTTTTAAGAGATAGCCGTTTCCCGGATGACCCCTGGAGGTCAAAAAGTGGTGTTTTAGCCCTGCAGACCTAACTTTAGGCCCTTCGCAGGAGCCTAAGGGCTTCCGATGGTTCCAAATCGGCCCTGCAGCTAAACTTAGGATATCTTGAAGTACAATAATCCATTTCGACTTTAAAGATCCCAGATTTTCACTCCACCCTGTTGTACAACCCTATCCAAGATGTATATGAGCCTGGCGTCGACACTCCCTGCCTTCAGTGGTCACGTTAGAATAAAAACAAGTCGCCGCCGTGTA